ACTGGCAAATTAATAGTGGTTGGGTCATTTTCTCTGGTTGTTGTAGAAACTGGCAAATTAATAGTGGCTGGATCATTTTCTTCGGTTGTTGTTGAAACTGTCGAATTAACGATGGCTGGATCATTTTCTCTGGTTGTTGTTGAAACTGGCAAATGAACAGCGGTTGGATCATTTTCTTCGGTTGTTGTAGACTCTGGCAAATTAACAGTGGTTAGATAACTTTCTCTGGTGGTTTTAAAGCCTGGCAAATTAACAGTGGTTGGGTCATTTTCTCTGGTTGTTGTAGAAACTGGCAAATTAATAGTGGCTGGATCATTTTCTTCGGTTGTTGTTGAAACTGGCGAATTAATGATGGCTGGATCATTTTCTGTGGTTGTTGTTGAAACTGGCAAATTAACAGCGGTTGGATTATTTTCTTCGGTTGTTGTAGAAACTGGTAAATTAACAGTGGTTGAGTCATTTACCTCGGTTGTTGTAGAAACTGGTAAATTAATAGTGGCTGGATCATTTTCTTCGGTTGTTGTAAAAACTGATAAATTAATCGTGGCTGGATCATTTTCTTCGGTTGTTGTAGAAACGGGTAATTAATAGTGGCTGGATCATTTTCTTCCATTGTTGTAGAAACGGGTAAATTAATAGTGGCTGGATCATTTTCTTCCATTGTTGTAGAAACTGGTAAATTAACAGTGGCTGGGTCATTTTTTCTGACTGTTATATAAACTGGTAAATTAACAGTGGTTAGACTATTTTCTTTGATTGTTGTTGTTTTGTAGTTTATTTCAGAAGTCGAAGTTTCTGTTTGGTTGACGTGTGTAAATTTTTGTGTTTCTTCTGTTGCTGAGGTTCTGCTACTAATTTGTGACTTTAAGTTAAAACTTTTGTTTGTATCATCTATTGTTTGTCGTTCCTCAGCTGTTCGAATATTTAGCGGCAAAAACTGGAAACTGGGAGGAATTTTGCTCTTTTTATTCTCATGATCTAAATCATAGACAGTGTCCAACGATCTTTCATAATCTTCTACATTTTGGGCATAGCATAAGAGAGGTCCCAGTAAGAGGAGCACGACGTAGCATAACATTTTGTTACGCTATAACTGACGTCACTTAGTCAAGGCTATGGAAAAAGAACAAAACTTAGTTAAGGTTATTTTGATCGAGATTAGATATGCGAAAAACCATACAATTAAAATGTCAAATCTTGGCTGAATATATAATAGTATTTTTATGTTGGTAAAAACAATTGTCCAATTATACAATTAATTATCTATATTAAGCTGAAATTTGGTAAATAAATAGTTGAAGAAGTGGAACAATTACATATCTTTAAAATATCAAGTATTAGCAGAAAATTGTTCGTAATAAATCAGTATATTTTACAAATCATTGTGCTAAACAACAGGTATATGAAAAGAAATTATTAGAGAAAAAATTCTTTAAAATGAGCTTTCACCACATGCACATGTTTAATCTAAAAACATTTTTTTATTCGACCTAGCTTTCGACCCACTTCAGAAGCCGACGTCAGGCTTAGCGAACAACATAAACATGCATATCATTAAAACCTTAGAATTAGGCCTATAAATTTTGATCACTGATTAAATAATGTTCGGCAAACTACTCTGTTGTGTCTCAGTCGGTTGAGCTCTGTACTGAACAAAACACGTTGTCGGTGATGGATATGGCGAACATAGTGTGATTGCAATATTATTCAGTGGCGTAGCAAGAGGGGGGCAGTAGCCCCCGGGCGCAGATGTGAAGGGACGCAAAATTTCCTCTGGCCTATAATGCC